TGCAAGTCTCTCTGCCATTTGTTGTTGGTATTGTTAAGGGTTTACGCATTTTTTTCCAAACAATAAGGCAAACCCATTTCATGCAACATGTGTGTGTGTGTTGGAAATGGAAAAGAAAATTTATTACCGTATTTTTATGCTCAATGGCAGAATTGTTTTGGCTCCTCTTTTTTTCATGTGGGAGGAAGGAAACACCGCGAATGACCTTGAGAAAATCCCTGTGTTCTTTTGTTTTATTTTGGTAAAATTTATAACAAATTAAAAGCCATAATTTTTCATCTTGCCTTACCAAAAAAATGTACATGAACTGCAAACCCCCTTCATGTCTGCTTGGTTGGAATCCTAACTACCTCTCTCTCTCTCTTTCTCTCCTTTTCCAAGCCAAAGATAATTTTTCCGTCTGCTGTGATTGTGTTCTATACGTATCCTCTCCTAGTTTGCGTGTGTATATTGGCATTACAAATGAGAGGAAGAGTTCAAAGCTCCCTCGCAATAATATATCACTTTTATATGCCGGCTTGTGTTTGCCACTAACGGCGGCGTCATTGTCTTTGGGTTAGTTATTGTTGCTGTTTTTGGATGTCATTGCCATTTGTTAGTTGTTGTGGTTTTAAAACAAAAACAAAAAAGTTAAATTTGGGGAGAATTTTGTAGTTTCTATGGTTTTTTGAATAACGGTAAAACCCACCATGACGCCTCTGTGGTCTTTAAACTCCTCCAAATATAAGAATTTGGATAATTTTCTCTTGATTCTGACCAGTTTTCACCGAAAGTGGAAAATTTTTTTTCTTAGGTTGTTGTTGTGGTTTTACAATAAAAACAAAAAAGTTAAATTTGGGGGAAAAATTTTTAGTTCTTGGGTTTTTTAAATAACTGCAAAAGCCACCAGACCGCCTCTGTAGTCTTTAAACCCCTCTAAATATTAGAATTTGAATATTTTTTCCTGATTCTGGACAATTTCCCTTAAAGTAGAAAATTTTAATTTTTTTCCTAGGACATTGGAATAACCTTCAAATATAAGAACCCTCCAAAAATAAGAGATTATATAATTTTCTCTAGATTCTGAAAAATTTTCAATTTAAATTTTTTATTTTTTTTTTAGTTTTTTTTTTAATTATTTTTTTTTTTTTTATAAGGACATTGGTATATAGGAAAAAGTCAAGGGAGAATTTTGGTGCTCGGTACAAAATCCATATAAAACATAATTTGAAAGTCCTCTTTTTTCTCTTTTAAACATTTCAGGATGGCCTCATGAAATGTTTTCTCCAAAAAAACTCCTTCTTTCTTTCTAAAAAAGAAATATCCTTAAAATTAAGGTCATTGAATTTGGAATTCAAAGAGCTTTTAAAAGTATTTAACTAAGACCTCAAAACAAAAGTGTTGCATTGTCGTCTTCCAGACCATAAGTAGCATTAAAACTCGGCCAATTAGAACTTGCCCCATACAACAACAGAAATAAAAACAACAAAAACTAGGCTTTTTGTGGAGTAGCTACAACAAAACTTAGGAGAATAACTAACTTTGGAGGAAAAAGTATTACAAAATATTGGTTTGTTGTTGGTGATTTTGCAATAGCACTGCCGTTTTTGTTGTTGCTGGCATTGCCTTTTCGTTGGCCATTAATTTTATTATTTGCCGACTTGTTTGACAGTTCTGACAGACAATTATTTAAAACTTGTGTTTGTTTCGCGCACTAAAGTTCTGGAGGTTTTTTTTTTTTGTGTTTTTCCTGAGCGCCCCGTTCCGTTTCACATTCAATTGAGTGAGCGAATAAGTGACTGACTGGTTGGCTGAGTGAGCAAACGACTGAATGAATTCGAAAACTAAGTTTGTAGGACCATGTTGTTGATTGTGTGTCACTTTAGTGGGTTAGACAGACGCTCCGCCATTGCGCTGAAGAACAAATTTGTTTTATGTTTTTAATGTTCAAGTTATTAGTAGCGAAAATAGTAGTAGTAGTGGATTGGCTGACTGACATGACAGTTACTTTAGGTTTTTTTTTCTCGAAAACTTCACTTTTTTAGAGGTCAAAAATACTTTAAAATAGCAGCAGCAGACCATCAGTCATCAGCGTTTCAGTGTCACCGGCAACAATGGTTTTCAACGCTTTTTGGCCGCATGTGATGAACGAAAAAAAAAAAATGTCAAAAACAAATAAATGTTAACACCATTTATTATGTCGGTGTTGTTGTTGTTGTTTTGATTGTATTTTGTTTTTGGTGGATCCTAGTAAAACCACTTGCACTTTTGTTTCGGGAAAGTGAAAACCAAAAGAGTTGGGTTTTGGGAAAATTAATGGCTTTGGCGATTGGTGGTTCACGTCTGGGCGGCCAAGAAATTCAAGCATTCACCGAGAGAGAGAGAGAGAGAGAGAGAGAGAAAGAGTTAATATCTCAGTTTAAAATTTAAAGGAAATCCGTCTACATTGTAAGGTGTTTCCTTTTGGTAATTATGAAAAATGAAGTGCAAAAATTCTTAGTGTCGTCTGACGGCAACCATAAAACTTGGTGGTGCCCTCTTTTTTATAGTTTTGGTAATAATATTTTTTTTTAATTTTTGCATAGTTCTTTTTTTAGTTTTTTTTTTTATTTTCGATCATAAAGTGTAGAAACTGCGCCATAAAACACCATTTATGAGGCGCAGTAATAAAAAAGCATGTGCGTGTGTGTGGTTCGGGCAAACTTCATAAAGGAAGCCTCCGCGCGTATTTAACATTTCATTTAGTATTCCATAGATAACATGGCCTTTTTTATAGGCAGAACTAATTTTAAGAGTAATGGCTTTCAAAATTAAGTGCAGGAGTTATTGTTTTTATTTCTATGGTAGGGAAGAGAGGGAGGGAGAGGGTAACAAATTTCTTAAATGAGAAGAAGTGACATGGAGAGTAATGGTAGCTGCAAGATCATTGCATTTTCATAGGCCTTTGGAGCTTTCAAAAGCTTTTATTTTAAAATTAAAGAGAGAGGGAGATCCTGTAATGAAATTATTTTTTTTCTCAGAGAAAGTCCTCGTTAGTATTTTATTGTAAAGAAGGCTGTGAGAAAGGGGATGGAATTGATGTTACTCCATGAGAAAAAAATGATGTGGGGAAAAATGGGACCAGGAAGATTATTGAATTTCCAAAAGCCTTAGGAAAGCCCTGGGAAATCATACTCAGAGGCTTTTGTGCTGAGAAGAAGTGAGAGAAAAACTTACAAGTTGCTGCAGTTTTGTTTGCAGAGAGTAGAAGCGATTCGGAGAGAAAGGAAATATTTTTATGGAGAGCCTATTTGAAGAACCCCCATAGTTTTTAATTTTTAAGGAGAAAAATGGAAGGGGAGATGACAAAAATCTGCATGGGTGGTCCTTGATCTAGAAGTTACCTTTTTATAACCCACAAAAAAAAATTAAAAAATACTCCCACCAAATTTCCTTCCTCTCTTCCCGTCCCCTTATTTTATAATTATTAAAAATTATTATTTGTTGGATATTTCCAAATTTATTCTTCTTCAAAACTAGTGCAGATTTTATCTTTGCCAATCTGCCAATATCTCAAAACGGTAGATAGGAGGAGGATGATGAAGATACTGATTAGTTTGTTAGTCATCTCATATTCGATCGTTGATCGATAGACTAACAACATGACGTTGATATTGACCGTTTCTTTCCTGGCCAGCATGTGCTGACACATGAATGGGCCAAAGACCGTTAAATAGCTGTCTCTCCTCTGCACTCACTTCGCTTTAAGCCACATGCCCTATAAATTCATTAAAAAAATTGATACATTTAATTTCTGATGTTAGAACCTGGAGGAAAAAACGGAGGTGTATACCGTCACGTTTCATACTTTAACATTGGCGGACGGAAACGGTAGCTCTCTTAAAAGCAGAAGCGCGACAAGCAACCATTCAGTAGTAAGCAAGGAAGGCTGAATGAATGAACTTCTACTTGTTCCTTTAAACTATTGCCGATCGATCGACTGATCAATGATTTTAGGGACATGATGTCGGGCAGACTGACTGGGCTCACATGACATGAAAAGTGCGGCCGGGGCTGCTGGCCCTTAATATGACGTAGATGCCGATGATGTGGATGATGAAACTGAAAACTCATTATAGGTGATCATTTAATATTTTTATAATAAGTTATTTTTGCCCCCTTGAGATGAGCAAGTTTTCGCTTGGAGACAGGCGGACAGACAGAAAATAGGGCGTTGTTTTATTGCAAACCCCCTTTTATTCTGGCTGGCAGAAACGTGATCGATCATTGGACGTGCGGGAGCTGTCCATCAGTCTACACCTGTAGCGTTTGTTTTTAGCATGGCTGGCAAGGCAATATAATTTTTAATTAAAATTTAAAAGTTTTTAATGAATTTTTATCAGCTGGTTTGCTTTGTCGTTACCTTAAAAGCTTTAGATATGAGAAATATGTTTTGGAATTTCTGCCCTGCTCATGTTACAATTCCTAAAAGATCTGTCGATGATGGGTGCATTTTTTTGTGTTGTCATAATTTCTTCTCCTAAAAACTTGATACCCTTTAACTAGCATATCCAAGTTAAGCATCTCTTGCTTGACTACCCTGCCGCCGCCCCATGATGGCTTGATTTTTTGTCGTAATTTTTTGTTGTTTATTTTTCTTTTTTTTTTTGCTTGGTTTTAATATTGATTAATGTTCTTTGGCTTTAAAAGCTTTTAATTAATTTATGTGTTGCCAGAAAATGCTACTGTGCTGTTTTCACCCATCTTTCAGTTACTTTGATTTGTCTGGCTGACAAAAGATCTTCTTTATGGATAAATGTATTGATGTTGGATTTGGTTTTCATTTTTTTTTTTCGTCTTCTTCAATATGATTTATAGATTTCAATGTTTGTTTTTTTCTTGAGTTGGGGCCTTTTTTTGCCCATTATTGGTAACCATAACTTTGCTTGCGTTTATCATTGTATTTGAAAGCCATGCAAGTTAAAACTAATTTGAGAATACAACATAAAGTGTTAATAATGAGGCGATGAAATGTGACTTACCATCATATGTTAGTTCTGTAGGATTTAGTGATGATAAGAACTTACCATCTGGAAAGAGAGAAAATAAGAAAATGCGTTTGAAATTAGTCAAATGTGAAAAATAGTAAAAAAGAAGAAAATAAAAATAAAATAATAAAAATAGCAAATATATTTTTATTATAATATGTTAATATATATTTTTTTCCATTAACATAAAATTTTGATTTGAAATTCAACCCAATGAGAATTATTTCCTTTATATCAAAATATTTTCCTTAAGATCCCATTTTTTATCTTTGCTTTGTCTTATTTTATACCTGAAATTAATCTAAATGAGAATTATTTCTTTTATATAAAATTATTTTACACTGAAACTCATTATTTATGATAATTTTTGAGATTCGGAAATTTTACTCGAAATTACAACAATTGGAATTTATATCCCTTGATTTAAAATAAGGAAACTTGCTCGCGAATGGGAGGTTTTTTACGGAATCTACTCTTTACTCATTAGTTTTGTGTGAGAGAGAGAGAGAAAATACAACGACAGTATGCCAAAATTAAAAGAGTGCTCAGCAAGAGTATAATCAGCTCGATTTAGAACGAATTTTGCTCCCACTCAAAAAAAAAAAGCTCACTCATCTTCGAGCGAATGGGAGTTTTTTTTTTTTTATTGCGGAGTTTGCTCTTTACTCATTAGTTTTGTGTGAGAGAGGAAGTACAGCGATATTATGTCAATATTTAAAGAGTGCTTAACAAGGGTAGAATCAGCTCGATTTTGAACGAATTTTGCTTCCATTCAAAAACGAGTAAAAAATACTCCCACTCGTATTCAAGCGACATCACAAAATTGAGTTTGCACGATTTTTTCCTGCCCCTGGACCTCACTCGCTCGAATTCGAGTGAGTTTTACTTTTTGTATAAATTCGAGCGAGTTTTTCGGAGGTCTGAATTTAACTAAATGAGAATTATTTCCTTCACATTGAGACTAATTTTCTCATTCCTGAAATAATATTTTCTCATTTTATTGCTTGAAATTAAAGTAAATGAGAATTATTGCCTTTAGTTCAAAATAATTTGACTTGAGACCAACTTTTTCCGCCTTAAGTCCCTTAATTGTTATGGATATCCCATAAATTGAAAAAAGCTATATTTTATAGCAATTTTTTGAAACCCTTTCTTTCAAATCAATATTTAATTGCTTTCTCTCTGCAAATTCATAAACATCATCAAATCATGGAAAATTATTTCCAAAGCTAATTTTCAATTAATTTTTGTTTTTTGTTGTTTTTGGTTGTCTCCTCCATCATTTATTCCCGGTAGTTTTTGTTGTTGTTGTATCGTTTCATTTATGTTGCCATTCACATAAAAGTAATTATGCCAAAATTTTGTGGCACCTAAGGCTAAATTGTAGTACTACATTGATATTCTCCATGATGTTGTTGCTGCTGTTGTTGCTGGAGACCACAGCGTAGCTGAAATACAGCATAACGTATGAAAGAGCCCCCCTTAAGCAAAATTTTTTGGTTAATTGCTTGAGCAGACAATGACAATGTCTTTGGCCATATTATGGGCCATGGAATAAAATATAAATAAAAAAACCAGCAGCAGCAACAGCAACGCCACGTGAGATTGCAAAAACAAAAACCCAGGCATACAAATGATTCTACACATCCAAGGGAGTTGAGGAGTATTGCTGTTGCGACTGCTCCTGCTGCCGTGTTACAGCTTTGTACCAAAAAGTGTACTTTGGAGTTTATAACAGAAAATTTGCAATTTTGGACGACAGGTGATAAATAAATCGAAATGAACCTTATATGGGCGTTTTAAAAGGCAAAACTGCAGCAGCAACAACAACAACAACCATATGAGACACCACGAAAAACAAAACATTCATTGCTAAAAGATCGAGTATGCTCATGAATGTACACATTTAGAGCTTCTGGATGGTTGGTTGACTTGCTGACTGGCTGGCTGGCTGCCTTCCTTGGGCTGTTAACTCATTTTTTGAATTTAATTGTGTGCCACATTATTTTGTTGCAGCACGTTTGAATGACTGACTTGTTGGCTGCTTGGCATTTTGCTTGCATTTCCCAAGGAGTAGTGTATCCTTCAAGTTTTCTTCATGGTGGTTGGCGTTGATGAGTTTTATAGTTTGCCAGACCGTTTTTTCGGTTTTGTATTAAAATCGTATTATTTTTCGATCCCCCCTCCCCCACCTCCTACCAGTTTTTTTCTTTTCGAGGTGTACAACATTGAATTGCAATAATACATTTTGTTTGATTGTTGAAGGTGTTGTCTTTGTAAGTGCGAATTGGTATTTTTAGCTTTATTTGGCTGGCAAGACCCACACGCACACACACACACTCGTATAGACATATTGAACTCCAAACTTGGTGTCATGGAGTTGGGGGGGATCAAACCCAGTCTCGAAGTTTTCATATCTGTTTCTCCGCCCCGCCGCATAGTGATTTGTGCTTATTTGACAAGTTGTCTTTAAAAGAGTTGACATTTATTGTGGGGTTTTAAGCGCATATTTAGGTGGAGTTTAACCAGCATTGGCTTTTTTTTGTTTTGCCAAGTGATGATGATGATGCTGTTGTTGTTGTCCCATTTGCACGAGTTGCTCATGACGGAATAATGGTTGTTGGTTTTCTTTGAGCACTGACGTTTGTATTTCCCTGCCGTTGTTTATAGTTTTTAATGTTGTTGATGACAATAAAATTATGTTTACTTGATACTGCATGCAGTTGCTGAGTTTTTTGAAGTTTTTTTTTTTTTTTTTTTTTTGGATGGCAGTGTTGGAACTTGTCTTCAAATTGTTTAATTATCATGATTTATTAAGAACTCATGTTTATTTGGCAGCATACACTTTTGTAAGACACAAGTCGAGAGATAATGTCATCTTGTGGTCAGAGGAGAAGAGAAAAATAAATTATTTGTAGATTTTTTGTTTCCATGGGAGTGTGGAAAAAGAAGTGGAGAGAGAGGAATAGAAAAGGGGAACAGTAAAAAAATTAAAAAAATATAAAGTAAATGAGAATTATTTCCTTTAATGAAATTATTTCCTTTAATTCAGTAGACGGAAGAAAACAGCAACATCAGCAGAAATGGTTCGAAAAGTAAAGATCGAAACTCGCGTCGCAGTGGCCGAAAAATGGCTCGTGAGCTGAGCATATCGCAATATTCCATTCGGCAAATATTGAAAAATGAGCTCAGGGTAAAGACATTGAAATTCCAAAAAGTGCAAGAACTTACACCGCAACAGAAAGGAAATAGACTCAAATGAGCTAAAGAGTTGCTTCGCTTGGCCGAAAGTTGTGAACTGCCGAACTTGGTTATCACCGATGAGAAAACATTTGTTGACCAGCAGTTTGTGTACAATCTCCGGATACCAATCCGTTGGACTATTGTGTCTGGAGTATTTTGGAAAGCAAGGTGGGCACTAAAAAATACCAAAGTGTCGATCACCTCAAGCAGGCGCTTCGCGGGGAATGGGTCAAAATACCACAGAGCAACATTCGAGCAGCATGTGACGATTTCATTGGCCGTTTGAAGGCCATAATTGGTGCCAAAGGTGACCAATTGGAAAAAACTTAAATAAGTTTTTTCATTCTTTAAAACTAAAAAAATCTAAAAATTATGGCGTTTGACTTTGTTGCTGGTTTTTTTATCTCACCCTGTATTGTCTTTTATAAAATGCCTTAACATTCAAATTATGGGACTTTGAAACAATTGGAAAAACAGTCTATTTATCTTCAGAAAATTTATAATCAGAAAATATTTTTTTTTTTTTTTTAATTTTTGAACTGCCGCAAATCAATTTTTCCCCAACTTCCGTTGCTTTGTAAGATCTTTGATTCATTTCTATATTTTTTTTTTAATTTTTTCCCAGTTTAAAAATCATTTTTTAAATTTTATAACGATTTTGTATTCCATTTTAATTGGATTGTTAAAGATTGTTTGATAACTGAAAAAAAAAAAAAAAAAAAAAAAAATTAAATACTCTGATCGCCTAAATGAGATGACTTCAAATGGAAACCCCATATGTTCTTATTGCACTCAACCATGCAGTCGACAAGTCGCTATTGTTGTTGTTGTCACTGTTTTGGTTTTATAAATATTTAATTATATCTATTTTATATCTTAATTAATGGTGACACATTATTTTTTTTTTTTTTTTTTTTGTTAAAATGTTTATCGTTAATTGCATTAAAATCCAAATGAAAAATGGGAAGGCCCAATAAGCAAATGAGTGGCTGACTGGCTGGCTAACTGATTGAGAAAGAGAGAAAAGAAAAAACAACAACATCTAAAAACAAATCACAATAACCAAATATTGAAATCTAATGGATTTTAAAACAGCAAATGTACATAATAATATCTGAAAAAAGTTTCGGATTTCCATTGAATCTTTTTTTTTAATTTTTATGCATAAATTATTTTAAATTTTTTTTCCTCTCTGTATTTTTTTTTTTGTCGTGGCCTTACTGATACCATTCTTTTAATGTAGGCATTAGTTAGGCCCCAAATATTGTTGTTGTTGTTGATTTTTTATACTAAATTGTTTAAAGTGCAACACTATGTTTTGATTCTTGGCCGCCAATGGCTTGTTATCAATATTGTGAATGAACGAACCAAAAAGTGTGAGTGTCTGTATGCAGATTGAAGAGTCTCTGACTAAAAATAAATAAAACAAACCAAAAAAACCGGACCGAACCATTTCATAAGTAAATTTACATGTTCCTTTTTTTCGGGGAGATAAAAACCGCCGGAGCAGGCCCAATGGATGGATCGATGCAAGATGATGATGATGGCCCAGCAGCTCATGGTTTGGAAATGGCACACAAATGCTTAAACAGGAAAGCATAATTTATTGATAAATACATTTTTAGGTTTTTTCCACTTTGCACGGCAAAAAAATGAACTTTAAGTGATAATTTTTCCTTCGCTCGCTTCCTTGGTGCAATACATTAAGTGAAGTATTTTTTTTTTTTGTGCTTCGGAAACATTTTTTCATATTTATTGGAAAAAAAATAATACCGACTCCCTTAGCTAAAAACTAATTA